AGGGGAAGAGGGGAAAGAGGGGAAAGAGGGGAAAGAGGGGAAAGAGGGGAAAGAGGGGAAAGAGGGGAAAGAGGGGAAAGAGGGGAAGGAGGGGAAAGAGGGGAAAGAGGGGAAAGAGGGGAAAGAGGGGAAAGAGGGGAAAGAGGGGAAAGAGGGGAAAGAGGGGAAAGAGGGGAAAGAGGGGAAAGAGGGGAAAGAGGGGAAAGGAAGGGGAAAGAGGGGAAAGAGGGGAAAGAGGGGAAAGAGGGGAAAGAGGGGAAAGAGGGGAAAGAGGGGAAAGAGGGGAAGGAGGGGAAAGAGGGGAAAGAGGGGAAAGAGGGGAAAGAGGGGAAAGAGGGGAAGAGGGGAAAGAGGGGAAAGAGGGGAAGAGGGAAAGAGGGGAAAGAGGGGAAGGAGGGGAAAGAGGGGAAAGAGGGGAAAGAGGGGAAAGAGGGGAAGAGGGAAAGAGGGGAAAGAGGGGAAAGAGGGGAAAGAGGGGAAGGAGGGGAAAGAGGGGAAAGAGGGAAGAGGGAAAGAGGGGAAAGAGGGGAAAGAGGGGAAAGAGGGGAAAGAGGGGAAAGAGGGGAAAGAGGGGAAGGAGGGGAAAGAGGGGAAAGGAGGGGAAAGAGGGGAAAGAGGGGAAAGAGGGGAAGGAGGGGAAGAGGGAAGAGGGGAAAGAGGGGAAAGAGGGGAAAGAGGGGAAAGAGGGGAAAGAGGGGAAAGAGGGGAAAGAGGGGAAAGAGGGGAAAGAGGGGAAGAGGGAAAGAGGGGAAAGAGGGGAAAGAGGGGAAGGAGGGGAAGGAGGGGAAAGAGGGGAAAGAGGGGAAAGAGGGGAAAGAGGGGAAAGAGGGGAAAGAGGGGAAAGAGGGGAAAGAGGGGAAAGAGGGGAAAGAGGGGAAAGAGGGGAAAGAGGGGAAAGAGGGGAAAGAGGGGAAAGAGGGGAAAGAGGGGAAAGAGGGGAAAGAGGGGAAAGAGGGGAAAGAGGGGAAGGAGGGGAAAGAGGGGAAAGAGGGGAAAGAGGGGAAAGAGGGGAAAGAGGGGAAAGAGGGGAAGGAGGGGAAAGAGGGGAAGGAGGGGAAAGAGGGGAAGAGGGGAAGAGGGGAAGGAGGGGAAAGAGGGGAAAGAGGGGAAAGAGGGGAAAGAGGGGAAGAGGGGAAAGAGGGGAAAGAGGGGAAAGAGGGGAAAGAGGGGAAAGAGGGGAAAGAGGGGAAAGAGGGGAAAGAGGGGAAAGAGGGGAAAGAGGGGAAGAGGGAAGAGGGAAAGAGGGGAAAGAGGGGAAAGAGGGAAAGAGGGGAAAGAGGGAAAGAGGGGAAGAGGGGAAGAGGGAAGAGGAAAGAGGGGAAAGAGGGGAAAGAGGGGAAAGAGGGGAAAGAGGGGAAAGAGGGGAAAGAGGGGAAAGAGGGGAAAGGAAGAGGGAAAGAGGGGAAAGAGGGGAAAGAGGGGAAAGAGGGGAAAGAGGGGAAAGAGGGGAAAGAGGGGAAAGAGGGAAAGAGGGAAAGAGGAAGAGGGGAAAGAGGGGAAAGAGGGAAAGAGGGGAAAGAGGGGAAAGAGGGGAAAGAGGGGAAAGAGGGGAAGGAGGGGAAAGAGGGGAAGAGGGAAAGAGGGAAAGAGGGGAAAGAGGGGAAAGAGGGGAAAGAGGGGAAGGAGGGGAAAGAGGGGAAGAGGGGAAAGAGGGGAAAGAGGGAAGAGGAGGAGGAAAGAGGGGAAAGAGGGGAAAGAGGGAAAGATGGGAAAGGAGGGGAAAGAGGGGAAAGAGGGGAAAGAGGGAAAGAGGGGAAGAGGGGAAAGAGGGGAAAGAGGGGAAGGAGGGGAAGGAGGGGAAAGAGGGGAAAGAGGGGAAAGAGGGGAAGAGGGGAAAGAGGGGAAAGAGGGGAAAGAGGGGAAAGAGGGGAAAGAGGGGAAAGAGGGGAAGAGGGGAAAGAGGGGAAAGAGGGGAAAGAGGGGAAAGAGGGGAAGAGGGGAAAGAGGGAAAGAGGGGAAAGAGGGGAAAGAGGGGAAAGAGGGGAAAGAGGGGAAAGAGGGGAAAGAGGGGAAAGAGGGGAAAGAGGGGAAGAGGGAAAGAGGGGAAAGAGGGGAAAGAGGGGAAAGAGGGGAAAGAGGGGAAAGAGGGGAAAGAGGGAAAGAGGGGAAAGAGGGGAAAGAGGGGAAAGAGGGGAAAGAGGGGAAAGAGGGGAAAGAGGGGAAAGAGGGGAAAGAGGGGAAAGAGGGGAAGAGGGGAAAGAGGGGAAAGAGGGGAAAGAGGGGAAAGAGGGGAAAGAGGGGAAAGAGGGGAAAGAGGGAAGAGGGGAAAGAGGGGAAAGAGGGGAAAGAGGGGAAGAGGGGAAAGAGGGGAAAGAGGGGAAAGAGGGGAAAGAGGGGAAAGAGGGGAAAGAGGGGAAAGAGGGGAAAGAGGGGAAGGAGGGGAAAGAGGGGAAAGAGGGGAAAGAGGGGAAAGAGGGGAAAGAGGGGAAAGAGGGGAAAGAGGGGAAAGAGGGGAAAGAGGGGAAAGAGGGGAAAGAGGGGAAAGAGGGGAAAGAGGGGAAAGAGGGGAAAGAGGGGAAAGAGGGGAAAGAGGGGAAAGAGGGGAAAGAGGGGAAAGAGGGGAAAGAGGGGAAAGAGGGGAAAGAGGGGAAAGAGGGGAAAGAGGGGAAAGAGGGGAAAGAGGGGAAGGGGAAAGAGGGGAAAGAGGGGAAGGATGCATGGCATACCAGGGTGCATGGCATACCAGGGTGCATGGCATACCAGGGTGCATGGCATACCAGGGTGCATGGCATACCAGGGTGCATGGCATACCAGGGTGCATGGCATACCAGGGTGCATGGCATACCAGGGTGCATGGCATACCAGGGTGCATGGCATACCAGGGTGCATGGCATACCAGGGTGCATGGCATACCAGGGTGCATGGCATACCAGGGTGCATGGCATACCAGGGTGCATGGCATACCAGGGTGCATGGCATACCAGGGTGCATGGCATACCAGGGTGCATGGCATACCAGGGTGCATGGCATACCAGGGTGCATGGCATACCAGGGTGCATGGCATACCAGGGTGCATGGCATACCAGGGTGCATGGCATACCAGGGTGCATGGCATACCAGGGTGCATGGCATAGCAGGGTGCATGGCATACCAGGGTGCATGGCATACCAGGGTGCATGGCATACCAGGGTGCATGGCATACCAGGGTGCATGGGATGGCATACCAGGGTGCGCAGCACATCAACTGTGGCCATGGGTGTGTCCTGCAGGGAAGACAGATCCGCCACTGCAGCTCTGTAGTCCTTGGCCTGAAAGTACAGCTTTCCTGAATGGGGGAGATGGGAGGGAGACGAGGCATGGGGGGGAAGAGGTAGGGAAGAGACGAAGCATGGCATGAGAGGAGACAGATCCGCCACTGCAGCTCTATAGTCCTTGGCCTGGAAGAACAGCTTTCCTGGTTGAATTGAAACATGGCGGAATCTGGGGGGGTACGAGGCATGGGCGGAGGCGAGGCATGGGGGAGACAGGACAGGAGGCACGAGAGGAGGCAAGGCATATGCGATGGAAGGGAGACAAGAGCATTGACGGCTGGAAGCTCTGAGACGCCAGACTCGTTTGCAGCATTCAATTGTCACTGCAAGGCCTCATTCTAGCTCTGCAAGAGGAACCATGCCGGGCCTTTTTGACAAGCAAGGCAGTGCAGGAAGGCAGAGGCAGAGGTAGAAACAAGGCCTTTGGCCCTTGACATGCGCTTGAGAGGACGGTGTGCTGGGGGATGATTGTGTTCTCTCCGAAGCACTGGGGCTGTGTGGGTCTATTTTTGAGTCGACTCAAAAACATGCGCTAGAGAGGATGGTGTGCTGGGGGGTGATTGTTCTCGCCCAAGCACTGGGGCTGTGTGGGGGTGCGATGGAGCGGCACGGCGGCGGCGGCGGCGGCGGCGGCTGCGGCTGCGGCTGCGGCTGCGGCTTCGGCTGCGGCAGCAGAAATGGCAAGCGCACCTCGCTGTCTGAGGAGGTCAAGGTCATGTGGGTGAAGCTGCACTGCCCTGCTCATGTCCGTGATGGCCTGCCGTTGGTGAGAGAGGGGAGGGTGGGGGTGAGGGTGAGGGTGGGGGTGAGGGTGAGGGTGGGGGTGAGGGTGAGGGTGAGGGTGAGGGTGAGGGTGAGGGGGTGAAGTGACTTCTGAGGCACATCAAAAGTAGTGTGGGTGGAGCTGCACTGCCCTGCTCATGTCCGTGATGGCCTGCCATTCGTGAGAGGAGTGAGAGGGTGGGGTGAGAGTGGGGCAAGGGTGGGGTGGATTGAGGGTGAAGTGACTTTTGAGGCACATCAAAAGTCTTCTTTGCAGCTGTGCTGCACTGTTCATGGCCCTGATGGCCTGCCATCAATGAGTGGGGAGAGAGGGTGCGCTGCGGTGAGGGTGAAGCGAGGGAAATGGAGAGGGAGAGGGTGAGAGCGAGGGTGAGGGAGAGTGTGAAGGAGTGGGAGAGGGTGAAGGAGAGGGAAAAGGTGAAGGAGAGGGAGAGTGTGAAGGACAGGCAGGGAGAGGGATAGGGAGCAGGAGGAGGATGGCGGTTGTAAAGCTCTTTTGATTCGGGGATAAGAGAGTGGAGGTAGAGGCGAAGAGAGCAAGAGATAGGGAAAGGGACGCGGAGAAAACGGAGCGAGGCTTGCAGTCAGGCAATGGAAGACGGAAGGGGAATATGCTGAACCTGTTTTTTTAGGCACCTCAAAAGTTTTTTAGGTGCCCCAAAAAGGAATATGCTGAACCGGTTTTTTCAGCATTCTCAAGAAACGGAGCGAGGGTTGCAGTCAGGCAATGGACGACGGAAGGGACTGCTGGCGGCCTTCTCGGATTCTCGAACAAGGTGACTTATGAGTCGACTCAAAAGTCACCTCGAAGACAAGAGGGCGAGGGCTGCTGGCGGCCTTCTCGGATTCAAAACCCGTTCTCGAACAACTCATGCCTCCTGCAGCCAGCCCTCCCATTTGAGGCTCCTCCTCTAACCCCGTTCTGAACTTTGAAGCATTTCTTACCTCAGTTCATGCTCAAGCAACTCATACCTCTTGCAGCCGCCCCAGTTTCAGGAGCACCACAGCCCTCCTCTGCCATGCATCTGTGCTTTCTGGAAAGCGGGCTGTCGCCTGGGAAAAGGTAGAGATTGGGGGGAGAGAGAGGGGAAGAAAAATCAATTGCGAGCTGCATTCGGGGAGTGGCTGCAGTGAGCAGAAACACATTCACCTGTGCTTTTGAGAAGTCCCAAAGGAAAAACAGTCACCTGGGCAGGTCACGTGGGCAGGTCACCTGGGCAGGTCACCTGGGCAGGTCACCTGGGCGGGTCACCTCACCTGGGATAGGTCGGCGAGAGCCTGTTGCAGGTTGCCTGCTAGGAAGTGCACCGTGCCCCTCCCCACCAGGGCACCCTCCTCGAACCCACGCACTGCCTCCAGCTGCTCGCTCGCATGCATACACGGTGGGGAAGGGGCGAGGGAGGAATGAAAGGGGGATGGGTGGAGACCGTGGAGTGGAGGAGACCTGGGGCATTCTCCTCAAACCCTTGCACTGCCTCCAGCTGCTCGCTCGCATGCATGCATGCATGGGGATGGAGGTGCGCGGGAGGAATGGGGGGGCGTGGGGGAGTGGAGATTTGGTGCCCTCTCCTCACACTCTCGCACTGCCGCCAGCTGCTCGATTGCATGCGTGGTCCGTGGAGGGAAAAGGGCGACGGAGGGATGCAGGGGGTGGGCGGGTGAAGGCGGTAGAAACCTGGAGCCCTTCGGATGCTCGCTCGCTCACATGCATGGGGGTGAAGGGGCAGGGGAGGAATGCAGGGGGGGTGAGCATTGGGGCCCTTTCCTCCTCGCACTCCTGCACTGCCGCCAGCTGCTCACTCGCATGCATGGAGGGGAAGGGGCGAGGGAGGAATGGGCGGGCAAGGCGAGAGGGGGGGGGGGGGGAATTGGGGGGAAAGAAGGCGGGAGAGAGATGTGAGGAAGTGGAGAGGTCTGGGTTTGGGGATTTTGAAATGTGTCAGCAGAGCTTGATGTAGTAACGGATGCAGGCATGGGGTTGTTGAAAGCCCTCAAGAACCAGCCATGCACACACGCATGTAGAGAGAGTGAAGAATGGAGAACTAGGGCCCCAGAATGTAGAAGGCATACGCATGCACGCACGCACGCACGCACGCACGCACTCACGCATGCACGCACGCACTCACGCACTCACACACGCACGCACGCGCTCATGCAGGCATGCATGTACGCACCTGGTTGAAGGCAGACAAGGCTTCCTGCAGCCTCCCGTCGTCCACCTGCAAGCCACACATGGGAAGGCAGGAGGGGAAGTGACCCCAATCACCCGCAAGTGACGGTCGCACGCACAACACAAGCATAGGTGCAGTGGAGCAGCACAGAACGCATTTAGGCATGCATTCGAGGTGTTCTGACTCAGCGTTAGCAGCATTGTCACACAGTCACACTCCTTTTGAGTCGTCACAAGGCTACTGGCCATGCGATCTCTCTCAAATGGTCCTTTGTATTGATTCAGCAGGGGTACAAACATGCGGTGCTACTGGCCATGCGATCTCTCTCTCTCATAGGCACTCAACCCTACCCCCAGCAGCACCACTCCAATCCTATCACCACTCACATGCCGATAAGCCGTGTGCAGCAGCAATGCGTGCTGCTGCTGCTGCTGCTGCTGCTGCTGCTGCTGCTGCTGCTCCATGCCTCTTTCCTCCTCACGCCCACCGCCCTTGCTCTCTCTACCGCCCCCTGTCTTCCCTGCTGCTCCTCTCCCTGTTCCCTTCCCCGTTTGCTTCTCCTCCTGCTGCTGCCCATTTCTCTGGCTCGCAGCACCAACACCAGAGCCAGCACCAGCGGCAGCAGCATTGGTGGAAAGAGCAGGAGCAGCAGAAGCAACTGGTTGGAGCGGACTAAAGCTTAGCACCCCACATACATCCACAACCCCCCCTTGCCTCCCACTCGCCACCCCCACACTCGTTCCTTCCCTTCCCTCCCTCCCATCCCTCCCCTTCGCGTCCCCCTCCCCCACTCCCCCCTGACCCACGTCCCCTCCTGGCGTTGCGTGTAGGCGATGCAGCTTGGTGCCTGCATGGTATGGTAGAGAGTGGGGGGTTGGGGGCGTGGGGGCGTGGGGAGATGGGGACGATGGGGGGAAGCGGGGATTGGGAGGGATGGGGTTAGAGGGGAGATTAGACGGGAACCTTGGGCTAGCAGCAGGGAGGAGGGGTTTAATTGTAGTGGGGTTAGGGGATATTTGAGGGCAAGGGGGCAGGGGGCAAGGGGGCAAGGGGGCAAGGGGGCAAAGGGGCAAGGGGGCGATGGGGCAATGGGGCGGGATGGGGCAATGGCGGAATGCGGCAATGGCGGAATGGTGTCAATCTGCGAGTGGGAACCAATGCAACAGCGTGCGAGAGAATTCTCGGGGGCAACATCTCGGGGGCAAGGCAAGAGGGGGAGAGAGAGAGGAGGCGAGCAGTCACCCTTTCGTACGAACGGTGCAAGGCACGTGGCAGCAGGTGCAGGGGCGTGAGGGCAGTCGCTGGAACACCCATGACCAGGACTGGCTGACAGCGCTGCTGCTCGCACTGACTGCTGTGACAGAAGTGACCGTGGTGGCACCGTTGCGATCAGATGCTGCTCCCACGCGGATACACACGGGCTCCTGGTGGTGACGTGGCATGAATGATGTCGTGGCATGATGACGTGGCGTGATGACATGGCATGATGATGTGGCGTGAAGACATGGCGTGATGACGTGGCGTGACAACACACGTTATGTGGACGTAAGTAGGAGTTCAATGCGGGGAGAATCAGGGTGTCACATGAGGTTGGGTGGGTATGGGGATTCACATTGTTAATTAAAGCCCTGACACCATATTACACCACATCGCTCTCTCTTCAAATCCTTGTAGGAGGCTGGGTATGAAGCTTTAGGCACCCACTTTCCAGCATAATATTCCACACATCTCCGTACACACCCCTTCTCCCTCCCCCTTCCACCCCTCCAAGCCTTCTTCACTTCTCCCCTTCCCCCCTTCCCCCTTCTCCCCTTCCCCCCTTCCTCTTCTCCCTCCCCCTCCTCCACCCTCTACCTCTTTCCCTGAAGATTTCGGAACCCCCATATGTTCCCCCCTCTCACCACGTCAGTTCTTGTATCGAGGCAACGAGCCCCCTTATAGCGAATTCCCTTTGCTCCTCAGTACACCCCCGCTCTGAACTCGGAACTACAAACCCCGCCGCTTCTTCCGCGCTTCCCCCAGTCCGCGCGCCGGGCGCGCGGGAAGGGGCGCGCGGGGCTGGCGGGGTGAGGGTGGCTGGGGGAAGCGCGGAGGGCGGGGCGGAGAAATAGTAACGGCCGTTAAAGAGCGAGCAGAGGGTGAGGTTGAGCGAGAGACACACGAACGACGCGCGGACGGCGCGCGGGGGAGCCATGATGGCGCGGGGAAGAGCGCGCGGGGAAGAGAGCGCGCGGCGCCGCAAGATGCGCCCGATCCGGGCAATGCGCCACGGTGCCGCGGAGAGCGCGCGGGTAGGGAGATTGCGTTAGCCGTGGCGCAATCCAGGGCCGTCGATTAGGACGTGCGATTGATCAACATCAAGCAACAAGCACCAAGGACTAGTACGTATTGCAATGGCCAGAGAAATTACAATGTGTGCACAAAGAAGCTAGTATGTCTGTCACTATGCATGTGTGTGGGTATTTGCTGTGAGAGAGTGAGAGAGAGAGCAAAGAGAAAGGGGGGGGGGGGGGGGGGTGGGGGGTGGGGAAGGCCACATATTCATCATCACCCACGCGGTTTGGTCTTGGCGGCCTGCGACGGGCGTTGTGCGATGCTTGCAGACAGTGTAACACTGTAGTCGATGTATTTTCGCGAGATCGGTGACCTGATTCGCGCACGATTCCGTTCTCCAGTCCGCCAGGGGCTGGTTTCCGCCACCGCTAACGTTCTTCGCACGGTTTTCGCTTAATCTGAACCTGAACCGTTCCGTACCGCAATAGATTATTCTGCATGCAAAAAGAGGTAATCTATGCAAAACAATTGACGTAAAGAGGAGAGAATCTCTAAATAAATCGAGACATCTCATAACATGTTTACGAGCAAACCACCCTTGATGATGTGCGACACGGCAATTCAAATTCAATATCCAACCGACCCGCCAAATTTGGAGGCGGCGCGTCCCGAAACGGCCACATTTGACCAACCGACAGTTCTACTCACGTTTGAGCCATCCCATCACATCAGAGCATCATACTCGCTTACAGTTCTCCCTCCTGAATCGCTATCAATCAACACAAAATGGCACAAGAAGCACCAGTAGCAGCCGACCTGCCGTCTCCCGCAACGCATCCTCCACACAGAACGGAACGGAATCTCAGTCTTTCCAGCTGTGACCAAGATGTTCTGAATCCGTACCTGCGTGTCCGTCCTGTTGCCTTGAATTCACAATGGGCTTTGCCTTGAGCCCGTGTATAGTGTATTTCTACCTCGTTACCGATATGCTATCGAACGCCAGTCGTTTAGCTTCTCCTTCTTGCCGGTTGCTGTCTATCTTCCACCAGTTCAGTATCTGATGCACGTGTCGTGTTCCGAAAGCCGCCACGTGTCACAGTCATCCAGCCGCGCGGCACGACATCTAACGGAGCTGCGACGCGCGCAGACGCACACTCCTCGCCGGCTGCATCTTCTCCTGCATCGCCACTCCACCAGCTCACCTCTCCGTTGTGCGACCTCCAGAATCGGATTAAGTCGCACTAGGCAGAGAGCGACTCGTGCAAACCTCTAGCGACTTCACCATCTCGCGCCACTCCCAACAGTAGCACCGTAACCATCCTTCTTGCCTAGTCTCCTCCCTTGTACCTCCTGCCTGCCTTCCTGCCTGCCTGCGCGTGCCTCGCCTCCCGGCCACCGCATCCATGAAACAGCCATTCCAGCCGCACACGCCGCTGCTGGCGCGGTCCGACGGGCGATCTCTCGATCTTCCCAGCTCGGGCTCTTCAGACGAGTGCACGCCGCCGAGACGGCCATTGCCGCCGCGCGGTGCAACATGGAGCTTCACCGATCTTCGCAAGCTACTGGGGGGAACCAGCGGGGGCGGGCAGGGGACCACATTTCGTACAACGGCGCCACTCACGGCGGCGATCACGGCGCTCTCGGCGCCACTCGCGGCGCTAGCGGCGCCAGTGACGGGGAAGCTGGTCAACAGGGTTCCAGGCGACGGCGTGGCGAGTGCAAGCGAGGCGACAGTAGCGCAATCGGCGGCGGCGGGTACTGCGGAGGCGGCAACGGAAGGTTTAGGAGACGGGAACGACGGCACGGGAGGGGTTAATAGCGCCCCGGCGGCGGTAGCGGGAGTGACGGTGCTGCTGCGGAGGCTGGGCTCAGCATGTATGATCATTCTCCTGCTGCTGCTCCTACTGCTGCTGCCCCTGCTGCTGCAGCTTGGACCATCAACCAGCGACAGCAGTACGGCTCTAGATATTCCTGGTATGTAGTAAGGCAGAGAGTGACCCGTTTCAAGCCACTCGGTAACGTGCTGCGTGTCTGTGAATCTGAAATAAGAGTAAGAAACGGAAAACGCGGCGGTGTAGAGTCCCCACCGCTCTGTGCCTCACACCACCACTTTCGGTCACACCACGCGCCTCCAGTTATTGGTGGGGTAGAGAGTGTGCCACGGTCGTTTTGACCACTGATTGGCCTATCCTTCTTCACTCTCGCACCCCTCCCCCTCCGCCCCCCTCACCCCCTCTCCCCCACGAACCGCCGTGCCTCTCAAAACCACGTGCGACAGCTCTGACTCGACTCGCTGGTTCTCGCGACGTCGCCCACGACTGGACGACTCGCACGGCCGGTCGCCAGGCGTCGCACGGCGACGACGACGTGCTAGAACGAGACGACCCGGAGATTGTCGCCGCCGCCTCGTGGCACGCTTCAGTGCGCGCAGCGGATTTTGAAGGACTTGCGGAAGAGGAGGCGGAAGAGCACAGGGCGGCGGAGGAGGAGGCGCGGCAGGGCGCGGCGGAAGTGCTGGCGGAAGCGGCAGTGGCGGAGGAGGCGGAAGCGGGGGAAGGGGAAGCGGGGGAAGGGGAAGCAGGGGAAGGGGAAGCTTGGGAGACGGAAAATGAAGCTTGGCCAGCGGAACCCTTTCCTGAAGGGGCGGTGAGTAGCGGCGGCGGAAGAAGCGGTAACGCGGAGGCTTTGGCGGCGGCGGGGGGGGACTCCGCACAGAGTGAGCCAGCAAATGGTGCGGAAAATCAAGCGCGGAAGGGAGCGCGGAGCAGCGTGGGCGCATCAGGGTGGGCGGCGCAGGACTTTCTGCGGGGAACTTCCGCAGCTGCTGCGGCCACCCCAGGGGGCCGCGCGGAGGGGGAATACGCGGACGGGGGGAACGGGGGAGGAGTTGGGGGAGCAGCGGGTGACGTTCGGTGGGATGGGGGGGAGGCTGTGCGCAGTGCGGGAGAACGGGGGGAGGAGACTCGACGAGTAGGAGGTGAGGCGGGAGGACGGGCGGGAAAATACGGCAGCGGAAGATACGGCGGCAGCAGTAGCAGCGGCGACAGCAGCAGCAGCAACAGCGGCGGCGGCGGCGGCGGCGGGTTCGAGAGCGCGCTGCCGCGCAAGGCGCGGTTGGTGCTGCAGCGCATGCAGGCGGCGGGGCTGCCCGTTCCGCGCGACCCGTGGCTGTGCGCGGATAGAGCGGCGGACGTAGAGGGGTACACGCGACCCACGGAGTGAGTGCGAGAGGCGGAAAGAGTGAAAGAGAGGGTGAGAGGGAGAGGCTTTACTGTATCACTCACTCACATGGAGTGAGTGAGAAGCAGGAGGAAACCTGATCACACGCCTCCAACGCCATCCCTTTTCTCCCCTTTCCCCACTCATCCCGTTCTCACTCCCTCTCTTCCTCCCTCCCTCCCTCCCTCCCTCCCTCCCTCCCTCCCTCCCTCCCTCCCTCCCTCCCTCCCTCCCTCCCTCCCTCCCTCCCTCCCTCCCTCCCTCCCTCCATCCCTTCCTCCCTCCCTCCCTCCCTCCCTCCCTCCCTCCCTCCCTCCCTCCCTCCCTCCCTCCCTTCCTCCCTCCCTCCCTCCTCCCTCCCCTCCCTCCCTCCCTCCCTCCCTCCCTCCCTCCCTCCCTCCCTCCCTCCCTCCCTCCCTCCCTCCCTCCCTCCCTCCCTCCCTCCCGCCCTCCCGCCCTCTCCCATTCAGGCGGCTGCGAGGCAGTCTGCTATACCGAGGCAGCACCATAGGCACGGACGATTGTCAACTCTTCCTCGCTGCTGCCACCACGCCCTCCCCTTTCAACCACACCTTCGCCACCCTCCCCCCACTCTCTCCGCTCTCCGCTCTCTCCCCCCTATCCCCCCTCGCCACTCTCTCAACACCCTCACCTTTCGACCCGCTCCCTTTCCTCCCCTCCTCCAATTCCTCCTCCTCCTCCGCCTTCCCCTCCCCCTCGCTCCCAACTCCGAAACTCGCCTTTCTCTTCCTCTCCCGCGGCCCGCTCCCCCTGGCGCGCCTGTGGGCGCGCTTCTTCCGCGGGTACGAGCGCCACTACTCCGCGTACCTGCACCCCGCGCCCGGATACAGGGTCCCACGGGGGGTGCGCCGCGCGCTCAACCTCACCGTCGTGCCCAGCAAGCCCGCGTTCTGGGGGACTCTCAGCATCGTGGAAGCAATCAAGGTGAGGATGGTTGGGAGGTTGAGGGACAGATTGATGCTGGCAGCAAGCCCGCGTTCAGGGGCATGAGCATGAGCATGAGCCTCAACCTCACCGTCATGCCCAGCAAGCCCGCGTTCTGGGGGACTCTCAGCATCGTGGAAGCTATTAAGGTGGGGAGAGAGGCGGGGAGGGTTGGAAGAGGAAGGTGATGATGAGGGGGGAGGACGGAAGGGGAGGTGTTCTATGTTTGTGGCCGGGCGATCAACCTCACTATCGTGCCCCGCAAGCCCGCGTTCAGGGGGACGCTCAGCATCGTGGAAGCAATCAAGGTGGGGAGGAGGGTGGGGAGAGAAGGGGGATGACGGGTGGGGATGAGAAGCAGAGGTTGAGAAAGGGGGAATAAGACGACACCCCCCTTCTCCCCCCACTTAGCGCCTGCTAGCCAACGCCCTTTCCTTTTCCCCAGTCTCCTGCATCAACTGCCCACTCTTTCCCCACCCACCCCCTTCTCCTAACCCCTTTCCCCACCTACTTCTCCGTCCCTGTTCCCCCACACAGCGCCTGCTAGCCAACGCCCTCTTGAACCCACACAACGTGCGCTTCATCATTCTGAGCGAGCGCCCCTTCCCTTCACCCTCTTCCCCCTCTCGCTACCCCTTCCCCCTTCCCCATTCCACCCTCCCCCAGCGCCTGCTAGCCAACGCCCTTTTAGACCCACACAACGTGCGCTTCATCGTGCTGAGCGAGCGGGACATCCCACTGCACCCCTTCCCTCCCCGCTCCACCTCCCCCACGCCCCCCCCCCTCCTTCCCCATCCCCCCACAGCGCCTGCTAGCCAACGCCCTCTTGGACCCACACAACGTGCGCTTCATCGTGCTGAGCGAGCGGGACATTCCACTGCACCCCTTCCCGGTCATCCACCGCTACCTCCTCTCCTCCTCCCTCAGCTTCTCCGGCGGCCATCCCAAGCACTTCCGCGACACGCTCGTCGCAAAGCGCGTCTTCCCGCCCGGTCTTGTGCGGTCGGGATGGGTGCACGGGGAGTGTTGGCTCGAGATGGCTCGCCCGTGAGTGCTGGCTCCCATCTCTTTTCCGTTCGCCATTTCTGCTGATTCTGCCACATGCACCCTTCACTCCCGGTTCCTCCTCCACCTTCACTTTCTCCCTAAAACGTTCTACCTTTCCACACTTACTTCCACACGCTCCCCTCCTCGCCTTCCCATATTATCTGCCGCCCCCTCCTCCCCCTTCCCCCTCCCCCTCTGCCCCTCTCCACTCTGGAAACACCCAATAGCTTTCCAAGTCAGCCCAATGCAACCCAATAACAGCAACCTTCCTGCACGCACGCCGTTTATTCCACCCTACCACCCCATCCCCCTCTCCCTCTCCCCTTTCTCTCAACCCAGGCATGCGTGGGCAGTGGTGAGCGAGTGGAGGTGGCACGAGATGGGCCTGCAATACTGCAAAGCCATCTTCCAACCCACGTGCTGCGTTGACGAGAATCTTATACAGACCCTCCTCACTCTAGCCTTCCCTCACCAAGTGGCTAATCGCACGGTCATGAGCGTGTTCTGGAAGCAAGCAACCGCGCATCCACACACGTACCTGCGACAGGACATAACTACTGAGACGATCGGGGGGATCAAGGAGGAGAGGGAGTATAGATGGGCGGGGAGAGGGAAAGGGGTTGGTGGAGCAGGAGGGCGAGGGAGAGAGGATGAAGCGTCGAGTGGATTAGCCACCAGCGGAAACAGCAGTGCCAACAGTAGCAGAAGCAGCAGAGACAGCAGCAGCAACAGTAGCAGAGACAGCAGCAGCAACAGTAGCAGAGACAGCAGCATCAACAGCAGCAGAGAGAGCGGCAGCAGCAGCAGCAGCAACTCTAGCAATAGCTCCCACAGCAGCGCTAGGCCGACCAGTGCGCCCTGCATGCTGAACGGACAACCCGCTCCCTGCTGGCTCTTTGCACGTAAGTTTGTGGGCCAGTCCCTGCCTGCTCTGCTGGCTCTGCCTGATGAGGTCCTGGGGTATTGATGGGAAACGGGCTGACGCTACAGCACTGGCTGGCACGCCATGGGGTTACCGTATCAGCAACAGCATCTCCCTGGTTGCCAGGCCAAGGTTAACGCCTCGGGCATCCCTGCATACATACGGGGCACGGAGAAAGGGTCCGATAGGAGGCAACCGTGCCCCAAAGCGACAGTAGATTAGACTACAGGTGACTTTGCTTTTTGTTTTGTCCTCTTGAAGCCTGGTTCCAGAAGCAGAGTGACTAAGAGGACGCCAGCCCTTGTGCTGAAAGGCATGCTTGCGGACAACAAGTTGCTGTAAGGTTCCTCCTCCCAAGACAATGGAGAATGGGAAGGGGACTGTTCCTCGTCTCTAGTGCACGTTTTTTTGCAAGATGTCCAGAGGATATGTACAGTAAAGCACCCTTTATGGCATGCATCATTATGCCTTAGTTCTACAGCCCACACAAGAGGCACTTACAGAAGGAGGGTGTGCATTGTTCTACTATAATCAACTAATAGTTCCAGCGAATAATGGTGCGGTACTTTTTCTACACACAAGAGCGCTACAGTTCACATCACACAATAGCTGTTCGATGTGTAGTTTCACCACACACAATGGATGCCTTGGTGGTTGTTAATACCAGGATTGAGAAACTTTGGCTAGATCGTTGCATGTTGTAAGGGCCTTAGCAACGAATATGGTAGTTGCATAAAGTAATTTAAGCATATGCATTCTTGAAACAGTCCGGTCACTTTACCGAATTGTCATTGCTTAGAACGAGTGCACTTCGAGACCTTCTCTCCAACCGCAGCTTCCTCTTCCCCGCTTGAAGAGTCTTCGTTCGAGTACGGTTCATTACGCTTTTTAGTTTTTTAGGAAAATTCACATACATCGAGACAGTCGTCGAAGCCGATGTGGTTCAAACCGAAGAAAATGACTAAGGGAGCAGCAGAAGGGGGAAGACTGCTTGCTTGCCTCGTGCACGAGCTTTCATGAAGGGCCGAGTCCACACGCAAGCACGACGGTTCCCTCTCTCCCTCCTCCCATCCCTCCACAAAGTAGCCAGAAGGTCCGCCCCACCTGCCTTTCTTTTCCTGTCCCGTTTGCACCCTGAGCCACTCCGCTTGCGCCTTCGCACCGTCCGTTCCGTGCCTCGAAAGGCGGGTCCTGATTGGTTGGTCGTTTTGTCGCGCACCTAGCTACCGTCACCCCACAGTAGTATGACCATCTTATCTTTGGTGCTCCGCGAAAGTTCACTGGCAAGCGTCATGCGCGCAGCGCATTCCGTCACCGACGAGTAGAAGTATTCGCTTACATACCCACCCACCCACACCTCGTTTCACATCTGTACACGTGGCTGCGTAGTACTCGCGCGGCTCGAATGGCGACGGGTGAGGTGGCGAGAGCAAGAGAGGGCGACGACGGAGGACCGGTCGCGCCCATGCCCCTTTGTCCAAGAGCGCTTTTCGTTCTCGTCCGCAAGTATATAGTTCTTCGTGCAGAGCGCCGGAAAATCGTCCAGAGAGCAATTTCAGCCCCAAAGAGCAGAAAGCGCGAAAGCCACCGTTTTTGCCCCGGTTGATCGAGTAGACGCGAGCAGAAACGAGCCGAAAAGAAGCGGGATTTGAGAAGCGAGAGCGAGAAATAATAGCTCCACGACACAACGAATAGATTCCACAGCTCGAGAGCATTGGTATCCCTTGCTCAGTCACAGCACTGAGTATGCCGAGGGCGGCGGCGACGGCTGCAATGGGGACGCTGTTCGACCTTAACGCCAAGTACGAGCTCGGGGAAAAGCTTGGTCGCGGGCAGTACGGCGTGGTCTGGCGATGCACGGACCGCGCGACCGGGGAGGCCTTCGCGTGCAAGTACGTGGCGGGGGAGAGCGAGCACGCCATCCGCGGCGCGCAGCGCGAGGTGAAATCGCTGCTCCGCCTGCGCGGCTCGCACCACGTCGTGGCGCTTCGCGACGTGTATAAAGACGAGCGGAACCAGTCGTTATACCTTGTAATGGAGCTGGGAACTAACGGGGATCTTCTCTCCGCGATTGAACGCAAGGGGCGACTGTCAGAGGCCGACGCGCGGAGCGTGTTCCGCGACGTGGTTCTTGGAGTTAAAGAGTGCCACGAGCGCGGCGTTTTGCATCGCGATATTAAACCCGACAATGTCCTCCTGTTTCCTACTAGCACTACCGACACCAGTAGTCATCGCTCCATGCCGCCTAATAATGCCCCGTTTATTCCCAGCGGCTCATCGCCATCTCCCTTCGGCAGCAGCAACGGCGCCGCGTCGAGCCCTACCAACAAGGGCCCGTTCTTCCACAATGATTCGCTCGTGCAGGATTACCATGGCGCCACGCGACTCGGCCAGAGAGGTCTTCTGCTTGGCGATTACTCGCGTAACGAGGCTGAAGCGGCGGCGGCGGCGGCGGCGGCGGCGGCGGCGGCGGTTGCGGCAGCAGTAGCGGACGCGGGTGCGCTTTCCCCTCGGTCCCACTCTGCACCGTACTGGACCGCGCTTGCTGATGCGGGTGCTGATAGATGTATCAGCAGCAACGGCGGTGGTGGCGGCGGCGGCGGCGGAAGAAGGGAAATCAGTATGGCAGCAGCAGCAGGAGCAGAAGGAGCAGAAGGTGCGGGGAGCGTGGCGAAGCTAGTCGATCTTGGCATTTCCATCCGCCTCAAGCCCGGTCACTACGTGCAGGGCTATGCGGGAAGCTTCCCGTACGAGGCTCCCGAGGTTGTGGTAGGAGCGCCGTACGACTATAGCGCGGATATTTTCAGCCTAGGAGTCACGCTATACGCGATGCTGTCCGGGAAGTGGCCATCCTACGCGAGTCGCATCCCGGAGGAAGGATCGTACGGCCCTAGTAAGAGGCGGCTGGACGAGAAGCGGGACTGGAGCTCTCCCTGCTGGTGGTTCGCTTCGAAGCATGCGAAAAGCCTGATTCGTCGCATGATGGCAAGCGACCCGGATCTGCGACCAACAGCCGAAGAAATACTCGCTGATCCGTGGCTGGACCCTCGTTCGCTCGTCAACACTCGACGAGGAAGCTGTGGCCCTTGCGGCGGTAGTGCTAGTGCGTGTTGCGGGTGCCCCTCCCCCTCCGCTCTGCGTAAAAGCCTCGCCCCGCGGCTGCTTCCGCGGCACCGCCACCGCTGCTGCTGTGGCAGGCATATGTGGCAAAGCAGGTCCCCGAGCTGCTGGTGGCAGGTGCGGCCACTGGAGTGAGGGGCTCCCGTTATTGTACGATTCACTTGTATTCCACAATAATTAGAGGGAATATGTTTTTGGAAATAAAAGCTTCTGAGTTTATATGTCAGTAAACAACATGAAGCTCCACGAGACAGGCAGGTTGATCTTTCGGGTCATAGGAAAAAAAGGCAGTCGCAGGACCAGTTCACAAGCAAAGCCTAGTGGCAGGAACAGAGGGCAAGTGAGGAGGAGGGTCTCACAGTTAGAATGCAACGGAATACTTGACTAGAAAGGAGTTGGGGTACAAATAGGAAACCCTAACATATTTGTACTCACTAAGGAGCACCTCACTACAGCCTATCACAAATATCAACATTTGACACACCCCCATAGGCTAAGTGAGGGGCATCAAAACAAGTAAGGCAGACAAACGGTCACAAGACCAGTCAAGACAAGAAGCAAAGCAAACTCAGGGTGGATCTCAAGGACACCACACAAATTCCGAGCACAATCAAGCGGCCACAATGCCAGTTCAAGAGGTCACTAGGATATATATAGGAAAACACAACAAGCACAGCAAGCAACAAGTCTACAGCAACCGAGGGCCTACCTCAACAAGCCCCAACTGCACAGAGAACCTGTGGTGGTCACCAAGCGCCAAGGCCTTGGTGAAGACGTCTGCAGTGTTGGCCTCTGAGGCCACAAAGTCCAGGCGTGCCTGGCCGCGTCGCTGCAGCTCTCGCAGGAGGAAGTACCTCACGTCAATATGCTTCACTCTGCTCTCCAGTCGAGGCTCTCGACACAGGAGGATCATGGCCTTGTTGTCAGCGTACAAGGTCGGTGCAGAGCGAGGCCGCTCACCA